GCTTAACTTTAGCATAGCTTTAGCTTAGCTTTCGCTTAGCTTTACTGCTACTACTAATGCTGCTTTCCTAGGGGCTCCAACTCCTAGGTAGGGTCGCACTGGGATAATTGTTGATGATGCTATGTTTGTTGCTGTTGTTGTTGAATTCTCACTTTCGGGTAATAATTATGATTGCCCCCCCTGCCCTGCGACCATTTTGTGTTTCAGTCAAACTGTTCCTCCCTGGGGTCGCGCCCTGTTATCTACAATGGAAATTGCGGCCTTTAGTAGTAGTGGTGGTAGTAGTATTATTGTTCTTAGTCGTAGTGGTAATATTAGTAGTAGCGCTGGCAGCTGTAGTAGTGGAAGTAGTAGTAGTAGTAGTAGTAGTAGTAGTCGTCGTCGTCGTCGTCGTCGTCGTCGTCGTCGTCGTCGTCGTCGTAGTAGTAGTAGTAGTAGTAGTAGTAGTAGAACTACTACTGCTACTACTAGTGTTAGTAGTGGTAGTGGCATTCGCCGTAGTAGCGGTAGCCATCGTAGTAGTGGCAGGAGTAGTAGTAGTAGTAGTAGTAGTAGTAGTAGTAGTAGTAGTAGTAGTAGTAGTAGTAGTACTAGTAGTAGTAGTAGTGGTAGTAGTAGTAATAGTCGTAGCAGCCGTAGTAGAAGAAGTAGTAGTTGGTAATGGCAGTCGAAGTAGCAGTAGTAGTCGTAGTAGTAGTAGCAGTAATAGTAGTAGTAGTAGTAGTAATCGTCGTAGTTTTTGTAGTAGTAGTGTAGTAGTAGTAGTAGTAGTAGTAGTAGTAGTAGTAGTAGTAGTAGTAGTAGTAGTAGTAGTAGTAGTAGTAGTAGTAGTAGTAGTAGTAGTAGTAGCAGTAGTAGTAGTAGTAGTAATCGTCGTCGTCGTCGTCGGCGTGGTAGTCGCGGTGGCAATAGTCGTGGTAGTAGTCCCAGTAGTTTTCGCAGTCGTAGTAGTAGGTAGTAGGTAGGTAGGTAGGTAGGTAGGTAGGTAGGTAGGTAGGTAGGTAGGTCGGTAGGTAGGTAGGTAGGTAGGTAGGTAGGTTAGTAGTAGTAGTAGTAGTAGCAGCAGTCGTAGTAGTAGTAGTAGTAGTAGTAGTAGTAGTAGTAGTAGTAGTAGTAGTAGTAGTAGGTGTAGGCGTAATATTAGTAGTAGTAGTAGTAGTAGTCGTAGTAGTAGTAGTAGTAGTAGTAGTAGTAGTAGTAGTAGCCGTAGTAGTAGTAGTCGTAGTGGTAGTAGTAGTAGTAGTAGTAGTAGTAGTAGTAGTAGTAGTAGTAGTAGTAGTAGTAGTAGTACTCGTAGTAGTAGCTGTAGTAGTAGCAGTAGTAATAGCAGTTGCCGTAGTAGTGATAACCGTCGTCGTAATACTCATGGTAGTCGCAATGATCGTAGTCGTAGTACTGGTAGTCGTAAAAGGATTTAGTCGTCGCGGCATTCGTCGCATTCGTAGCCGGAAGAGTTTTCGTAGTAGTGGTCGTAGCAGTCCTACTAGTAGACGTAGTAATCGTGGCAGCAGTAGTAGTGCTTGCATTCGTGTTACAAGTGCTAGTCACTTGGTTTTCTTATCTCATTTGTCGTAGCCGTCGTAGTCGTACTGAAGGTAGTCGTAGTAGTAGTAATGATATTAGTACTCGTGCCCGTAGTAGTGGTAGTCGCAGCCGTAGACGCAGTAGTAGTTGAGGTAGTAGTAGCACTCGTCGTAGTCGGACACAGAGTAACAGTAGTAGTACAAGTAGCAGTAGTAGTAGTCGTAGTAGTAGTTGTAGTAGTAGTAGTAGTAGTAGTAGTAGTAGTAGTAGTAGCAGTAGTGGTCGTAGTCGTAGTAGCCGTAGTAGTCGTAGTAGCAGCAGTCGTGGCAGTAGCAGTAGTATTGGTAGTAGCCGTACTTGTCTTTGCAGTAGTAGCATAAGTACATCTAGTAGTACTTGTAGTGGTACTTGTGGTAGAAGTGGTAATAGTAGAAGTAACACTACTTTCACTCGTAGAAGTGATCCTGGTAGTCGTTCTCGCAGTGGCCCTGGTAGTAGCAGTAGTAGCAGTAGCACTGGTAGTAGTAGTAGTAGTAGTAGTCGTAGTAGTAGTAATAGTAGTAGTCGTAGTAGTAGTAGTAGTAGTAGTAGTAGTAGTAGTAGTAGTCGCCGTAGTAGTAGTAGTAGTAGTAGTAAAAATCGTAAATGAGTACGTGTAGTAGTAGTAGTAGCAGTAGTAGTAGTAGTAGTAGTAGTAGTAGTAGCAGGAGTAGTAGTAGTAGTCGTAGTAGTAGTAGTAGTAGTAGTAGTAGTAGTAGTAGTAGTAGTAGTAGTAGTAGTAGTAGTAGTAGTTGTAGTAGTAGGTGTCGTAAAAGTAGTAGTGCCAGTAGCCGTCGTAGTAGTAGTAGTAGTAGTAGTAGTAGTAGTAGCCGTAGCCGTAGTAGTAGTAGGAGTAGTAGTAGTAGTAGTGGTAGTAGTAGTAGTAGTAGTAGTAGTAGTAGTTGTAGTAGTAGTAGTAGTAGTAGTAGTAGTAGTAGTAGTGGTAGTAGTCGGAGTAGTAATAGTCGTGGTACTTGTGTTATTAGCGGACGTAGTATTCAAGGAGAACTAGTAGAGGTAGTCTTATTACCCGTAGTAGGA